AAGTAAGATAATTATTTGCTCCATTATTCAGCTGAGTGGTGAAGAAAGCCAGAGCCTATTCTGGCAGCTCAGGGCGCGATGTGGGAACCAACGTTGGTCAACATGTCATTCCGTGGCACGGTGCACTCACAAAGATACACCTACTCACTCACACTGGGACAACTTAGCCACACCACTTCACCTAACGTACACAGCCTTGGGATGTGGGAGGAAATCAGAGGACCCGGGAGAAAATCCATATACATACGAGAACGTGGAAAACTCCACACAGGTAGTGGCCCGGGTCAGAAATCAATTTTATTTTTTCTGAATGTTACCATGAAACAATGTTGAAAAAAATGACATTTGAGGTCCTGCTATACTGAGAATGTATTAAATATTTTATTCACCCAACTTACAGTTTGCAAATAATCTGCCCTTCTCCAAAAACACTCTTAAAACTTCCCTCAGCTATCAAGACTACTTCTAATAATAATATAGAAATATTAAAACTAAGGAAACTGGGTGGAGACCCAGGGCTTGAGTTAGAATGCAGATTCTGACATACGATAAACAGCAGGTCAAGGACACTACTATTTCTACTATATGTAAATTAAGAGAGCTTTTGTGGGCTGAAGTGGCAACATAATGATTATATAGTACTGACTTGAAAGGAAAACGTACCCAAGGTTCCAAAAAACGTCTTACTGCATTTGACATGGAATCTACTCATAAACTGGAATATGACTGCAATAAAAATCTTTACAAGAAGGATAAATATTATAAAAGGCTATATTTCAAACTGCACACAAAATTTTTCAAAGTAAAACTAAACTAATGTGGTAAGATTATTTTTTCTACCAGAAGTACTTTCAATACCCAAAGTTTTCCAAATACAAAAAAAGTTGCAGTCATATTTTAAATGTAAAATCTTTAACATCAAAAGTATTTTTTGTTCCCATAGTAAAAAAGAAAACCATGCTTTTGAAATGTTAAGTTTTACATATTTTCAGTACAACTACACCAAATTCACCTAGCATGTCACCATACTTGAGGAAAATCAATTCCTAAGATTAAAGAAAAAAAAAGTCTGGGTTATACAGTTATTTCCCACTTACGTCAAATTAAATTTAAAATTAAACTGCCAAGTTGAAGTTCCTGGAGGGTATTCTCCTTGCTCATTCATAAATGTCAGTCCTAGCTGAATTATCTTTAATAAGTCTACATTACACCGCAATAGTTGGTATTGATAGTCAGCATTGCTCCTGAATTCTCCAATGGGTCTTGCAACCACACCTGGAAACTCGGTGTCCTGTAAAATAGTTTTAAGATTCATTATGTACTGAACAGTCAAAACTACAATCCACACATTCTTAACTTTTGATGCAAATCAAAGAATCCTACAGATGATATTCCACACATTTATATTCAATTACAAAGTATCTTTTAACTAGAAAGAACCTCACTTTTTAGAACTTACATAAAACTCTATAAACTTAATAACCTTTTCTTAAATATATCAAAAAAATTACTACGTATGAGATACATGTGATAAACGTAACCAAATACTTACTCTATACCCAAGAAAGGGGGGAAAATCATAAATGCCTATCTCCCAAAAGATACGTGAAATGATGCTCACAGTATTCCAATGCTAAAACCAAGTTTCTTGAAGAACTGGTTCAAAAGAATGGAAAACGCCCTGTACTTTCCAATTGCTTCTCTGAGACAAGGTTTTTCTCAACACCAAAATCCTAAGAAAAACATCATTAGCTTCCTAATTTCTCTGGCTGAAACAATATTCTCTCTATAGTCCACAGAAAGCATGTTGTCAAGAATAGCATGCTACCCACTCACTCTTGTAGGATGTTATCACTTCTCTATGTTGCCACTCTTTATTATCTGAGAAATCAATGATCACTATGAGTTTCCACTGGTTAAGAAAACAATTTTAGTTCTAATCATGGCTAAGTATACCTTTATTAAACAGTATTTTACCTACAAACATTCATATTTTAACCAATCAACCTACTCCTCCCCAAAGTAATCCATTTGTTTATTTTTATTAAAAATACTGAGACAAAGATACATCAGTTTAGTATTAGAATTCAAACTAGGGCTAAGAATAAAAACTACCTATCAAGTCACTATGAAACAGTAAAGAAATCACTATTTCTCTAAATTCAGTGCAATTCAACAGTCACTTTATTGGATACTAGATGTGTTATGCTAGGTGCTGGGAGAGAAAGGACGATTAAAGCACTTGCTTTATGGAGCTAATAATAATCTAGTGGATGCAGAAAATAGGTAGCTAACAGAAATAGTGTAAAGGTAAAGAAGAAAAATCATTAACTGGTTAGACAATCTAGGCAGACTAAACAGCACGTGCAAAAGCAGAGTTGCTTAGTAACACAGTATATTCACGGAACTCCAGTGTTAATTATGAAAACAAATTGCAGACCAACAACATTTCACTGGCACATTTGATTTTTTTGTTTGAGAAAGAGCTCCCTAGCTTCTGGGAGCTCATGTGGTACGACCAGCTAGGCTTTGGTGTTGCTTGGAGCAGATCTGGCACACACAGCTAGGCCCTAATGTTCTCCTGTTGAACATAATTTCACAGACGTTCAACCTCAAATAAGACTACTCTGTAATCATGTCCAAACAAGGACAAAAAAATAAACAATGTCAAACCACAAAATGACCAAGTATCTCCATCCTGGCTAAATGAATGACTGTTCCTTCTCTGCAGCTTTAACCTCATTCTAGTCTCTCATTTAAGACTTAGATATCCAATCACAGAATTACCCTGGCTTCCTGACCACATCCAATCCACAGTAAAGCCCTGCTTCCCTTACCTTCCCCAAGACCACCTGACACAAGCCCAAATACTTTCTAACGCTCTCTTATTCAAATGGCCCATGGTTCCCAGGAATTCCAGTGCGTTTTCCCTCACTGCAGTGAGGGATAAACCCAACCTGTCAAATCACAGGTGTATTCCTGATGCTTTTTGGCTGGAGGGCAGTGACAAATTTTTCTTTTCACGGTGAAATTAATCCCTAGAAATATCAACCAAAAGGGCTGAACTCAAGACTTTAAAATTTCCTTTTCCTCCTTTATATGAAGCGTTTTAAAGACCTGCTTGTGGGCATACCATAGCAACGTAATTATATTTTCGGATAACTTGACGAATTTTCTTCATCTCTTCATCCAAGTTGCAAGCCCAAACTTCACAAATTCTTTGGCTATGATCTACAGTTGCCGCTGGCATAGTGAGGGCACAAGGGAGTCTAGATGCCAAGCATCAAAATGTTATACTTGATTGAAGATTTGTTTCATAAAATATTTTATCCTTTATTTATGTACCTGTCAAAACAAAACAAAAAAAAAACAATATAAAGACCAGATATATCAAATCTGAATCACAGAATGATCTGGCAGGAACCTAAGAGATTATTTATTCAAAGTTCTTGACTCATAAAAAAAAAATCAAAGTTTAGAAAGTAACTTAAGGTCACACAGCTAGCCTGTAGGAAAAAAAGGACTACAGCACAGATTTCCTGGTCCTGATTTCAGCTATTTTAAAATAACTTTTTTATGCATACATACTAATCATATTTTTATAACTTTCCGCTGAAGATTTATCTGAGTTCAGCTACTCTGCATAAAACTTCATAAAGCCATCCATTTCCAGACAAAAATGAAAAATTACTTATACACATGTGACAAGATCAGATGCTACCATGCCAAAGGTGGTATTTACTTTTATTCCTCATTAACAATACAACCAAAATCCGACTTGATTACAAGATCTACTTTACTGCCATTTATTGAAACTAGACTAGAGGGGTCAAAAATGTTTGTAAATGCTCTCAGAAGAAGTAACAGCCACAGAAAACTATCTGAATGTTCGCAGTTGCAGAAGGGAAAAAGAACACAATAGAACGTCTAAAACTCAGAGCATATTCCCTGGTTACCAAAGATACAGCTCACATTTCTGCTCTATAAACAGAGTTCGTGTTGATTCTTGGGCAGGGAAATTTCAAATTCTTCTGCATTTTCCACATAAATTTGAAAAAAAAAAAAGGTAAAAAGAGGGTTTTATGGCTGTCTTCTAAACTCTGAAGAGTTAGAAATGTAACTTCGAATTCTCCAAATAAAGTAACCAAAGGAAATCCAGGACACCCCTCCTTCATAACTCTCCCACCCCGATACACACACACATAAGCACACAAACACACAGATCTGGAAACACCCTGTAGTTTAACATTGCTTTCCTCCACCTCTCTCTCTACTGCAGTCCCAGAAGCCCCGAAGAGGCACCAAAGGCCTTCTCATTACTGGAGATAGCATCTCCGTACTGCAGGTTCCCAGAGAAACGAGAGGACGGCACCGACGCATTCAAGTCATAGATAACACTCTTCCCCGGCAGAGCGCCAGTGCGAAGGTGCTGATAACACTGATTGGAGCTACACTGACTCCCAAGCACTGCTGCGTGAAAGAATACGAAGAGCTGAGGATCTAGGCCACCGCCCTCCACTCCCAATTTCCGTCCCACTTCGAAGCCCCAGGTACAAAGCCTTTGCGTCATCACCACGCGCCAACCCCTTGACAAACCCCCCAGCCCCAGTTACCCAGCCCCCCACCCGCCGCCAGGCTCCTTCCTCCGCCAGCCGCACTCCAGCTGGCGCCATCGCGCACCCTCTCAGGTTCATCGTCCCCGCCCCCTTTCTACTTCCCTAACCCGCCCCTCCCCCCGCAAGGCGGCGGCGGATGCAAGATCTACTTGTGTAGCTGAGCTCGCGCTCCTCCTCCTCCTCCTCGCCATAGAGACAGCACCCGGCGGCGGTGGCGGTGGCGGTAGCGGCGGCGGCAGCGGGTGCCCCATAGACACCTCTCGCCCAGCAAGGGGAAAGGCGAGCAAGAGCTGCGCCGTACCGTGCTGCGCCGTCGCTTTTCGCACGTCCTGGGGGGGGGCGCTAGATGATGACGCGACACGCAGAGGGGGCGGAGCACGCAGCTGACGGCGGGGTGGGTTGTGGAGCGCTGAGTGGCCAGGCTGCCTGACTGGCCGGCTTGGGCGTCTGGGCCGTGAAGGTGGGACCGCCGGTTGTGGGCGGCAAGTTCCCCTCTCCAGCCTCCCGCCGTTCGTAGCATGTCCCCCAGAACCCGGGGAGCGCAGGTAGGACTGGCTTAGAGAAGACGCGGTCCCTAGCGCTTGGACCACGGACGTGCCACACCGCTCCTCTGTCGCTGGAGAACCGCCGGGCCGAGCCGCTGGGAGAAGCAGGCCAGAGCCTTCCAGGGCCTCCGGCCCGGGGACCCGAGGAGAATGAGCTGGCTCTTTCCCCTGAGCAAGAGCGCCTCCTCGTCCGCAGCTGGGTCCCCCGGTGGCCTCACCAGCCTCCAGCAGCAGAAACAGCGCCTGATCGAGTCCCTCCGGAACTCACACTCCAGGTGACTGGTCGCTGCCTCTCCACCGGAGGAAAAAGTAGGGTGGGAGGGCGGGCTTGTCCTAAGCACCTCGCAGCGCCTCAGGTCTGCTCCCCACCAGCTCCTCATGTGGTTTACCTCCCTTGGTTCTGGGTCTCACGTTTGCTCTGCCACTCCTGCCCCCTTTTACTGTTTGCCTCCGGACCCTCCCTGCCTCCTGCCGCACCACTGCTCAGCGCTTCTAACTCGGATTTCTTCATCCCTCCTGACACATCGGTGCTGACTGTAATCTCTGTGATAGTCTATTTCCAGTATCCCTGCTGCCCCGGCTTCCCCACTAATCTTTCCCGTTGCCCACCTGATTGCCGCGTCGGCAGAATTGTTAAAATACGATTGTGAAGAGTAATCTCCAGGTTTCACAAAGAATGGGAAATAGAACTGTTGCAACATCAAAGGAAAGGGAAGCCAGAGTTTTCTTCAGTGAATGCTTCTCGTCTGAGAGTCACGTATCACGTAGTCAGTCTTCTTGAGTCTCTTAAGATTTACCCATTTCCAGCAGCCTCTCCCTATCTCACAGCTGCCAGTGCCTGTACATTTCTCACTTCTTTCATAGTGCAGTCCCCACGCTCAAGAATTACCTTATGTTCATCTTGATTGTTCTGTTGTCTTCCTATGAGTTTTTCATTTTATTGTGGTCAGTTTAGAAATGTTTTTACAATTCATATTATTTTAGCTCTTACTGTATATTGGTTTGCTGCAGCCTTTTACATTGCCTATGTCTATGGCCTCTAATGGTTTTAAAAAATGAGAACTACTTCTTTATATGCATTTTGCCAGTATATTTACTGAACAGTTTCACACTGTTTTAAATAAAGATTTAAATAAAGATTTAAAACTTAACATTGTTAAGTGTTAACATTGTTAAGTCCCTAACCCTTTTTTTTTTTTTTTTTTGAGGGTAGGGGGACGGGACGGACTCTCGTTCTGTTGCCCAGGCTGGAGTGCAGTGGTGTGATCTCGGCTCACTGCAACCTCCGTTTCCTGGGTTCAAGCAGCCCTCCTGCCTCAGCCCCCGGAGTAGCTGGGGTTTCAGGTGCACACCACCATGCCCCGCTAATTTTTTGTATTTTTAGTAGAGACAGGGTTTCACCATGTTAGTCAGGCTGGTCTCGAACTCCTGACCTCAGGTTATCCACCCGCTTCGGCCTCCCAAAGGGATGGAATTACAGGAATGAGCCACCTCATCGGGCCCCGAACGCTTTTGAAAACATTATTTTCGTAGTTAAAAAATATATATCCTGAGATAATAAAATCAAATAATTCCTATCTAAAATGGAATACTTTTAAATTAGATGGTCTTGTTAATAGAAAAATTCACTGCAAAATCAGTTTGACTGAAATAAGGCCTGATGCTGACTGAACTTTAGGTGTTTATTGGTTCCTTGTCTCGATTGTTCTGTTTGTTCAGAACTTTCAAAAGGTGAAATTTTATGCTATTTAATAGAAAAGAATGGCAGACTATTATTGGTGGCTTTCGTATTGGAAAATTAACTTCACAAAGTTCTTACAAGTCAGTCTTACTCCAAGTCGTATTCTGCACTGACCTTTAAGAGCTACTCTCACAAGGTATGCTTATAAAATAAGGTGACTCATTTTTGACATGTTTGTTCCCTTAGAAGTTGTTACATTGATAAACTGTGTATATGCTATACCAGTCCTGCTATGGCAGAAAGACTTTTTTAGAATCACACTTTTGGAATTAATTGGTTTTAAACCTTAGTATGTAGTATTATGTTAAATATTTTCATTGCTGACTAATTTTTTTCTTCGAGGTTGGAGTTTAATTTTTTAAATACTCCAGAGTCTCTTGCTGCTAAGGCTGGTAAGTAAGGGAAGTAATTGATCTGAAATTTATAATTTTGGCCTCCCAAATAAAGTGAGATTCTATAGCAGGAATTGTTAATATAAAAAGTTCTGAAATTGACTTAAGAGGATCAGTAAATACCCTGAATTGGATATAGATTCATTTTACATATTATTTTTTGAACCAGAAATTATGAACATATGATTGGATATGGTTATATTAGATAATGTAATATATTTTGTAGTGTTACGAACAAATAACTTTATTGTTTTAAGTTCTTTTATAAAAACACTGGAAGTTTCATTTAATTGAGATGTTTCACATTTACAGATTATACTTGACTAACTCTGGAGACGTTTAAGTAGGTCACATGCTTCCAGTTTTCAAAGAATGGCCCAATCCTGGAAAATGCCATTCACCTCTTCTTGTTAGTCCACCCTTTTAAATAATGACATATGTTTTTAAGCTAGGAGGTGAAAAATTATCTTTATGGAATCTGATGTTAAAGAGGGAAAAGGTGTGATAACTTTCCTCATCAGTCATAAGGGGCACAGCTGACACTCCTATAACAAAAGACAGGTTAACAAGATAAAAGTATAACAGATTTATTTAATCAAAGTTTTACCCTCCATGGGAGCCTTCAGAAATGAAGTCCCAAAGACCCAAGGAAAACTGCCTATATTTGTGATTAGGTTCAATGAAGAATGGACAGCCATGTAGAAATGTGATTGGACAAAAAGAGTATGGTAATAGTAATAGCTAAGTGGGGAAAACCCAGCAAGGCCTGTTTGTTCAGATTTTTCTTGGCTTCTCTGTATAACCTCCTCCTCTAGTGTACCAGCCTGGAGTCCTATGGAATGAGGGTCTTCAGGGCGGAAGGGAAAGGGACCCTTCTAGATTTATGTCTCTTTGTAGGGAAGAAAGGTTCTAGTTTGTAACATACTGCCCAGGGGAAAAGGAATTCTCGTTTCTATGACTTCTTCAAGGGAGAAAGAGGAGCAGGAGGTGGTCAGACCAGAGAGCTTTACTTCTGAGGTCCTCCAGACTCTTTTAGTTCAAAGTAATCAGCCTGCCAAAGTGCGATATTTTGGGGTATTGTATTCTGAGCCCCAATACTGGCAATATGTTGCCTGATTACCTAAATTAGTGGTACAACTTACACTTAAAAGATTTTTGTGCAGACACTGATTGGTTATTCTAGAGGTGTGGTGTGTAAAAGTTGGAAATTTCCAGTGGTTTTTTTTTTTTTTTTAATAGTGCAAAAACTTGTTACATGAGGAATATCAATATCTTAAGGTGTGGTGTGTAAAAGTTGAAGGAGTTTCCAGTGGTTTTTTTTTTTTATCAACAGTACAAAAACTTGTTACATGAGGAATATCAATATCTTGTTACATGCTGCCCACCTCCCTCATGTTTCATTTTATGTCTCTTCTCCAAATGTAAGGACATTAGATAAATATCTTTTTTTGGCAATGAAAGTATGTTTTCTTCTGCTCTACTGAGTAACCTTTCTTTACCCCATTCTCATCTCCCTTCCAACTCTTACCATTTTTAACCCCTTATAATTCTGAAAATTCCACTTCAGCAGTCTTTTTAAGTCCCTTTCTCTAATGATTGTGAACTTTTTAGTTGCCTTAAATTCTTACCTCCTCATCTTCCTCAGCCCTCTATAAAAAAATAGGTGAATTTTATGTAAATTTCTTCGTCTAAGTCTCACCAATATGCAGGGCAAATGAGATAACTGTCGTAGATGACAAAAAAAGTGTTTAACCAAAGTGTTTAAGTCAAGCTGTGAAAACAGAAACTAGAAATTATGTAGGCTGGGCTCAAGTAACATGTTCTCTCTTCTGAGTAACGGTTATCACAGTATTCGGTTTATCACCAAAATTCCTGATTTTATGGACAGGAGTAGAACTAATTCTTCTGTTTCTTATATTTCCCAAGGAAGCTGACTTTATGGACACTGTTGGTTTTTCCCTTTGTAGGGCCCATACTTTGTGAAGGCTGGGATCTTTCAACCCAGCCTCCGCTGGAGGTGAATAAGGATCATTTCCACCAATAATGGTGGTCTCATCACCCTTCCCCCCAAGTTACTGTGGAAGCGGGACTCTTGGTCAGTGGGAGTTGCAGGCGAAGTCTGCTGGGGAGCTGCTCAAAATGTTTTCTCAGTAATAGTAAGAAATGTCTGGGAGGAAGAAAATGTCTCATGTTTTGGATATTGTTACATGAAACAACCCTGATCCTCCAATTCCTATCTGTAAGATCAAGAATTGTGATTGCTGTCATGCAGGATTTTTGATAACTAATATATGTAAGACATTTGGAAGAGTATCCAACACATAGTAGGCATATGACAATTTACATTCCTTCTTTCCACTGCATAGAATCAGTGTGCTTGAAATATTTGCCTCTTAGCCTGTAAGCTTCTAGCCAGCATATTGTTTATGGATCTCTCATAAGCCTACCTACAACTCATTTGTCTCTGGCAGGACTACTTCTGACTTTCCATTTAGAAAGCAAGTCCATTCCAGAGAGTTAGTTTCTTCATAAAATTAGGCATGATGCAGGTAAATAACCTAAAATATTATCTTGCACACAGGAGATGTAAACAGCAATTGTTACTGTATTTTGTTCTTGTCCATATCTTTAAAATAATAGTGCTATTCTCTATAGTCTTTAAAATTTGTTTAGTATTTTCTTTTGCTGCCTGTCTCCGGATTCCATTGTTCTTTCTAATTGCCTAAATGTTTAGCCTTAAAACTTTTTGTAGAGTCAGGTCTTGGATAGTTCTCCCCTACAGTTGCTAAGCTTAACCTCTTGATCACAGCTATAAGACTTTGTCCCCCCCATCTCATGAGATTCTGAGTAAACTCAAATTCCATGCTCTTGTTTTTATATAATTGACTCTCAGCTGATAATAACTCATATACAAACTTGGTAACACAAGAGATATTGTGATAAGAGGATATGTATGTGTGTGTGTTAACCCGTCTCATGTTATATATTTTTTTGAAAAGGATTATCAACAGTCAAAATTTGAGATTTTTATATTAAGATTTCCAAATTTCCTTTTTTATTTATTTATTTTTTGATACAGGGTCTCACTCTGTCACCAGGCTAGAGTGCAGTGGCACAGTCAGAGCTCATTTCAGCAATCCTC